AGGCTCCGCAAACTCTCGCTTCACTTCTAGAATCACGACAATCAAGAGATAAACCTCTAACTTTTGAAATTGCATTGAACATAACTTGTTTAAAGATATACTTTTTTATGCTGCCTTGATTAAATATAACTTTATCAACCCAAATAATAAAACATATGAATTATTTGGGGATCTCAACCCTAAGCTTGATGTCAACCCAAATTGAAAAGGAAAGAGCATATTTGAGAATTTCAACTCGAAACCCCCAATGTTGGCCCAAATAAGATAAGTAGGCTCTCTGACAAATAGAAAGAATTTTTACTTGCTAAATGTATCTAGGGATCTCGACTTGAATTCAATGCCAACCTAAATAAATGGATACATAGCTCATTGTATTGATATGAAGGGAAAGCCTAATACAAGCTGAATATATTTGGAGATCTCGTGTTATAACATGATGTCAACCTGAACAAAAATAAATGGCATTTGATGATAAAATTTCACTCTTGTGCTTGTTATGAAGTTTAAAGCTACCTTCTTTTAGCTCATGCTTTGCATTTCATTAGAATTATTGATGAAGAGAGAAGTTTCTTCAATTTGTGCTTTATGTTTGATCAGACAATGTGAAGAAAGTTGATGTTTCAACTTGATGTTAACATCAAGCACAGTTTGATTTTTTTTTAGCAAGAATTATTTCTTTAGTTTTGTCGTGATTTGTTGACCAGTTGATAGAATCCGAAGTTTCGAACGCTTAACTCACCGGGATAGATAAGCTTGGGTGTGGAAGCTATTGCCATTAGATGAACCAAACAGGTGCTCTTTCAATGCGACTATATTTGAGCTTGTTGATTGAGGAGAGTTATTAGCGGCTCAACTATATTTAAAATTGATGTCATATCTTTAAAACTCGCTCAAGTTCTAGACTTGAGTTATAGAAGAACTTGTGTTTCTTCAACTTGACATGTTGAAACTCACAACTTAAAATTCTCTCGCTTGATTTTAAAATTGTAAAAAGTTTGAAAGTTGAACCTCTTATTTTTTAAATTGCCTTGAGTATAACTTGTATAATGATAAATGCACTTTTGCTCAATCACTTGAATAAAGCTTTGGCATTGATGTGTTAAATGTTCAATTAGGGAACTTGTATTGGCGATGATATCGACCCAAATGATAAAATGAACATATTTGAGGATCTCAGCCCAATGCTCCATAAAGGGGAAGTGATCTCTTTTGTCTGATAGATAAAGAAAAATTTGCACTAGGTGAATATAATTGGGAATCTTTACTTAGAACGCGATGTCAACCCAAGTAATAATGAGCTACTTGTCATACACAGAGAAATTTTGATAATTGATAAGTATCTTTGGAGGTTTTAGCTTAAAGCAAAAAGTTAACCCAAGTAAAAAATTAAAAAAAATGTCCCCTGTCTAATTGGGGGATTTTCATGTGAGTAATGAATATATTTGAGAATTTTGACAAACAACTCAACCCAAATGAAATACAGAAAGCCACCCTCTCTTATAAAAGGAATTCTAGCGATGATTGCATATTATTGGGATCTCGGCTTAGAGTATGTTGTCAACTCAAATGACCTAAAAAAATACTTGGCCTGAAGTCTGATATTGACCTAAATGAAATGAGAAATCTCCTTATCTTGACCATCTCGGCTTTAAGCATGATATCAACTCAAATATTTGACTTTTTGGAGTTCTGCTCTTTTGGCTTGAATGCGATAATTTTGTCACCAACCGAAGTTGAAGATATCCCTTTATTTCTCTGCTTTTGATATATTAGATAGAGGAATAATCAAACTCATATCCTACTAAAAAAATGATGACCCCTCCACCTATTGGCTTGAAGATATCTCTCATTCAATTGTTCATGATTTACCAGAGAATGGGGAATGACAAAGTTGTAGCCTACTAGCAAAAATTTGATTACCCCTCAACTCGTGGGGTTGAAGATATGCTTCATTCGATTATTCTCGATTTACCGGAGCGTGAGCAATGACCAGTGTCATATTCTAATGGAGTAAATTTAATAGCCTAGCTGCATTTAGGGTTAAAGCTAGCTAATGATGGGATTTTTGACAAACTTTCTGAAGTGTTGATTATTAGGATATTCATCAATGAACCTTATTCAATATATTTCTTTAATTAATTTTGTTAATGGCTGATTTTTTAGAGCCCAAACCAGATGTCATGCCAGTTCATTCTCTGATTATTTCATCTTCATGAGGCACAAACTTTCATACTTGTTCACCCTTCCATCGGGATCATTCAGAATACCAGACACTTGATTCTAGTGTCACGTCCTGATGCTCACCGAGTGAGATTTTCTTAGGTTATTTTTGAGTTATCAAGCTTCCATGAATAAAATCTAAGGAACATGCACCGAGATAAAATCTTCTGCACAGTGATGACTTTCTTCATAGCTGAGATTTTATTTTATGTGCAGACTGAAATGCAGGACATATAGATATTTTAGCAAAGTGAGGCTTCCTGATGTTGTTCAGAACAAATACAAAAAAAAAGGCCTTAACATTAGCGATGGGAATGTCCACACCATCAAGTTGGATAGTGGTCATAAATAATGGGATTCTTTAGAAGGGATTATTCTTATTTTAAAGAATAAAAGAACTCCTTAGAGTATTAACTACACATGATAATTTCTAGTTGAAATATCTTCTTCTCAATTCCAATATTGGTATATTGGTTTATTGACACTCTAAAAGTGGAACACCATGCCTGATCATTCAACTTATTAACACAAAATATTATCTTGAGTAGCAGTGTTATTCAAATTTAGCTGTTGCTGAGATTTTTCGATAGTGGATATTTTGACTTGAAGAAGCTCAAGTATCACAAAATCAATGCTCACCATGAAGAGCTTATAGTTGGGACCATTCGATGAAAGATTCCTAGATTGAAATTCATATGTCATTTCTCAATACTGATCAAATAGAGTTTATCTTCTTGATGGAACTTTTTGGTGGTAGCTTCCTCAGATTGAGATTCAAAGGTCACGCGTTGATGCTTATTAGACAAAATTTATCTTTCTATTGAGATTTTTTAGTATTAGATTTTTAGATTGATATTCAAGTGTTATACTCTGATGATCACCAAACATAATGTCTTTCCTTTGAGTGCTTTTAATACCAGACTCTTGGATTGAGAATCAAGTGTCATACTTCAATGCTTACTGGATAGAGTTTGTTTTTCTATTGGGGTCTTTGGGTAGCAAACTCTTGGATTGAGATTCAAGTGTCATACTTCGATGCTTACCATCAGATTTTGTATTTCTGGACTTTTTGTATTAGACTCTTATATTGAGATCCAAGTGTCATACTCCGTTCATCAAATAAATTGTCTTTCTGTTGGGATTTTTAATTGCAGATTCTTGAATTGAGATATGATGGAACCATTCAATTGCACACTCTTGGATTGAGATCCAAGTTATGCCCCGATGCTTACCATATAAGATTTGTTTTCTATTGGGACCTTTCGGTAGAAAACCCTTGAATTGAGATCCAAGGGTTATGCCCTAATGCTCTCCAAACAAAATTTACTGATGCTTTGAGTAATTACAATATATAAAAGCAATTTTTGACATCTTATTTTTATTTTTTGAAATCATTTTTTAAGTTGTTACAATAATTATTATATAACTAGCTGAAGATGAAAAGTTAAACCTTGCCCAACAAAGTCGCCAGAAAGCTATGAGCTCCAAAAATTTGTATCTCCTGCCCCTCTCGAAAGTATAATGATGAGAGCGTTTACTATAGATTTCGGATCAAATTCTTATAAGATAGATTAAATTTTAGATAAAACACTGTATAGAGATTTCCTCTCACTTTATGAGGACTTTTTATATTTATATTTTGAGTTTGAGGTTTCCAATAGTCGTAAGCCCCCCTATGGTTAATTGCCCCTCTTGATAACAAGATAGAACTCTCGATTAATGTTAGTCATTAAGGCGATGATGAAATTTAATTGAATTTTTAGATTATAAAAATCTGTCACTTTGAGATTAAAAACATATTGCTAGGGAAATGATGACACACCCGGTCAGTATCTCATAGTCTCATTGTCCCGGGAATGATCAATATCTGATTGTGCAAGTTGCTTGTTGTCGCCATGTATGATACCTGTCCTTTTTATATAGCGAGTATAACTCTATAGTGGACAATAAATTTGTGCATCAAGCCTTGTTTATTAGCAGACTACTTTGTGTTCATGTTAAGGACACTACTTGGAAGTTATCCATGACTTTAAATAGTCATACCATTTGGTATAAATGGACATATTTCATGATCATTTCTGATTAATTAATTTTTTTTCATTGTTTCCATCATTATGTTTTTTTGTTCTCTCAAACTATGCTTTCATTTTGCTGAATATATTCTTGAAAGTTCGTGCAAGTGCTTATACGCATTTTATCTTTTCTTCTAGTAAGTTTTTGAGTTTTATGTCCCAATTTTCCACCATTTCAATGTACTTAGTCACCACGTTATTGTCCCCTTTTCACTCTTAGCCCATATCAACCTGCAAAAATACTAAAAACCTTTATTTTCTGAAATAAGGCGTGATGGTACGGTAGTTTTATGGTGATGACCATGATACTATTAACTACATTTATTGTAAAATTATTGGATTCTCTATAGATCACCTGAGCATTGGCCTGGTTAAAAATACTATTATATGAAAATCGTAAGCTATTACCTTAAAATATATTTATTTTGATGTGTCTAACTTCATTCTACATGCCATCTCTTTTAATTTTTTTAAATAATAAGCCTAAACTTATATCCATAGTAAGAAATTTATAAAGCATGACAAAATGTCTGTCATATGCTGTTGAAGTTCATTTTTTTAATGAGACTTTAGATGGTTGCATACTAGTTATTTTGTCAAGATTAGCATTTATTGTGTACTTTTAAGGTCAATTGGACAATTGGTGGGGAGAAATATACCAAAGCAAGATAATGTTCATGATTGGATGTAAATCTCATGTTTCTGCAGGTGTCACAACCATTGCTGGGGGGAGGTGGAACAAAGGGGGGCATATAGATGGGCCAAGTGAAGACGCAAAATTTTCAAATGATTTCGAAGTGGTTTACGTTGGCAGCAGCTGCTCGCTTCTGGTTGTAGATCGAGGAAATCAGGCAATCCGTGAAATTCAACTTCATTTTGATGATTGTGCCTATCAGTATGAAACTAGTTTTCCATTAGGTAGCTGATGCGACACAATATTTATTTCTCCCTAGCTCCATGCAATTTTTTCTATTTAGCCCACGACTGACTTGTTTCAGGTATTCCTTTGTATTGCAGGGGTTGCAGTGCTCTTTGCTGCCATTTTCTTTGGTTACATGCTTGCTTTACTTCAACGACGCGTGGGAGTGATGGTTTCTTCAGAAGATGTATATTTTCTTTTAACTATATGAAAATAGTTCGTTAATTTATTTTATTTTTTCATCGAATCATTCTGAAATTACCTGAACTATTCAGAAGTAAAAGTTAGTTCTGATAAGTTCTGAATTACGGCAGCCAGTGGAACATAGCAGGCTGCTATGTTAAAAACCGAAACAAGCTTTGATACAGGGAAAAGAGCAAAATGCAGAAAATCAGAATTACAAACTTTTGTATCCTGTATATATAGGAGCATGAGGAATTTCTAGAGAGGGAGAAGTGGTCTTGAGACTTTCGGTTGGTAGCAGGGAGTAGTGGAGATAATGCCTTTTGTTGCCTAGTAGTGTAGGGTTGTTATTCCCTTCTCTGCCTATCAGGTGGAATAATAGTAAGCTTGGTCCCATGATTGTTGAATGTAGCTGCGGTGTGACTTTTTGTGAAGATATCGGTCACTTGATCCGTTGAACTGGTGTGTAGAATTTGTATAGCTCTCGATGAGATGTGATCTTGAATGAAGTGGTAGTCAATTTTGACATGTTTTCTGTGGGCATGAAAAATTGGTTTGAGGATTGTAGTGATAGCGGAGGTGTTGTCGCAGTAACTTGGTGTGGAAGTACTTGTACATATGTGAAACTCTTTAAGAAATATTTAAAGCCATATCACGTCTGATGTGGGAGCAGCTAAGGCTCGGTATACGGCTTTTGTGGAGGATTTATCCAGTTGTTGGGTGTCTATCCTGGGAATCTCCTGCCCAATTGGAGTCTGACTATGTGTGAAGTTGTAGATTTCCCTTGGTGATAGGGAGACTGAAGAAGAGAGTTCTTTTGAGATACCATAGGAGACGCTTGGTGAGCTGGAAGTGATAGAGAGGAGGTTGGTGCATATGCTGAAAGATGTGGTTGAAGGCGAAAGCGATGTCGGGTCTAGTAATAGTGATGAATTGGAGAGAACCAGCTTGTTGTCTGTATTTGGTGATGTCATAGTACTCTTGTAGAGAAACTTGCTCAAGTTGCAGCTTACATGAGAGAGGTGTGTGTACAGGTTTGCACGAGGTCATGCCAAGCTGTTGAAGGAGAGATGTAATTTAGGAAGTTTGGTTGAGATGATAGCCTTGGGGCGTTTGGGGTAATGGTAATACCAAGGAATGTCTAGACGGGCCCCAGTTTCTTTATTTGAAATTCAGTTTTGAGATTTTGTATGAACTAGCAATAGCGAGAGGGTTGTTACTTATAATGAGGATGACATCCACTTACACAAGGAAGTATGTTGTGATTTGGTTCTGATGCTAGATGAGAAGAGAGGGATTAGTCGTGCTAAGATGGAATGTTTTGCCTTTGAGAGGATTGATGTAGGTGTAATACCATTTTTTTGGTGCTTGTTTAAGACCATAGAAAGCCTTTTTGAGGAGACATACCTTGTGTGGATGTTGGGTGTCTTGAAAGCCTTGAGGTGGATACATGTTTATAGTTTTATCCAAGGAACCATGTCGGAAGGTATTGGATGCCCGATTGTTGTTTGAAGCCATTGGCAATCAACCTTGCCTTGAATTTGATTGGTGTCTCGTCAAGAAAGGATTTGGTGTGATATGTCCATTAACAATCAATGATGTTCTGGTGAGGTGGTTGGTCAATGAGCGTCCATGTCCCTTGATGTTGGAGTGTGTTTCAAACTCCGATGACATAGCTTACCGCAAACAGAGATGTTTTGATGCTTAGGTATAGGTAGTCGGATTGGTTGGCAGGGAGGTGAGTGTGCGTAGATTGAAATGTTGTTTTGGTTTGAGGGATTCGGTTTGGGAGCTAGTTGTCATGGGTTGTTTGATTGTGGTGGTGGGTGGATGAGTTGATACATTGTGTTGGTTGGGAGGTAGTAGTTGAAGAGGTTGGGATTATGGAATGTTGGCTGATTTGTGGTTGGTGAGGATGGTTTGTTTGGTTGGACAGCCGAATGGTTTGGGTAAGTAAGCCGGGTGGGATGTATGAATTGGGGATGGGAGGTGTGGTTGTTGGGGCTTGTTTGGGAAAGATTGATTCGTTGAAGACCACACGCCTGATATGATAAGTTGATGTGTTTGAGGGTTGTAACAACAATAACCTTTGTGAGATTTTGAGTAACCAATGAAAATGCACTGTGGGGATAGGGAGCTAGTTTATGTGGAGCTTGCCCTTTTGCCAATGGAAAAAAAAAAGGCATCCAAAGATGTGGGTGACTATGAATGGGTGGTTCATGGCACACAAGTTCGTAGGGAGATTTTATTTTTGTGGCCTTGGAAGGCAACCTGTTTATTAGATAGGTGGCAGCCAGTGAGGCTGCTGTCCAGAATTTGTCAGGTAGGGGAGCAGTGAGGAGAAGTGTTCCTGTTGTTTCAATTAAGTGTCCATGCTTGTGTTCCACTACATTATTTTGTTTGGATGTATAGGGGCAACTGAATTGATGAATGATGCTGGTGTGTCCTCCACAAGTCTTGAACATGGAGATGGTTGCATTGTTGGTTTCCTTGGCTTTTTCGGCTAAAATATTGATCTTTTTGCTGCATGGCAGTGAATGCAGATCATGCAGCTTGATCGGGTGAAAATAGCTGTTTTAAAGGACTGATACATTGTTGTTAGGCCATTGAGGATATGGAGTATTTTGTTCTCACGGTCAATATGATCTCCGACAACCGTGATATTGTTGACTAGGGATTTGATGACCAAGAGATATTGGGGAATGTCTTGATCTTTCATGGAGATGTGTAGGTCATTCCATAGTTGAATGACCATAGATCTGTTTGTAGACTGCAGTCTACTTTGGAGAGTTTGCCTTTTTTTAGTGGTGGATTCGAGGTTGAGTATGTACGGTAGAATTGTATGAGATATAGTGGAGTAGATGGCAGAGGTTTTGATCGATGAGCTGCCAACATAGAAATTATGGATTAGGGCTTGTTTGTCCGGCTGGGCCGCGGACGGTGGGAGGAGGGCTGGTTGTTAATCCATCAAGAAAGCTGTCAAAGCCATTGGCCGTGAAGAGTTTGTATATTTGGTGTTTTCAGGTTGGGTAGTTTTACGCTGTGAGTTGAACATGGTAATGGCATTACTGTTAGGCATCATAAACTTTAGGGTGGAGGGAATGGGAATGTCTGCCACATCCTGAGAAGCGAGATTGGCCTCTCGGCTTGTCTAGGAAGAGGTTTCCGACATTGTGGGTGCGGAAGGGGGAAGTAAGCGGATAGAGAAGGGAGGAGCTTCTAGAGATTTGGGGAAATACCTGATAGCTCTGATGCAATAATGATAAGTTCTAAATTACAGCATCCAGTGGAACATTAGCCTGCTGCTATGGTGAAAACCGAAACAAGCTTGAGACAGGGAAAACAGTAAAATGCAGAAAATCAAAATTACAAAATTTTGTATCCTGTATATATAGGAGCTTGTGGAATTTACTAGAGAGGGAGAAGTGATCCTGAGGCTCTCGGTTGGTAGTAGGGAGTACTGGAGATAATGTCTCTAGTAGTGTAGGGTTGTTAAGTTCAACTACGCTGTAGAGGAATGCAATGACTCCACGCTTTCCAAGTTGAACTCAATATTTAAACGCTGCATACCAAGTATATCATTAGAATGTAACTCTGTAATATCGCAACATGAGATCTGTTCACCTAAATGCTCTATATCTATAACAGGAACCTGTGATCGCTGTGAAGACCAACGTACCCCCTCCATACCAGAAGCCAATGAGAGGCTCAGTGAGACCGCCATTGATTCCAGATAAGAATGAACCAGAGAAACAACAAGAAGAAGAAGGCTTCTCTATCTCAAATGTTAAACTTCTATCCAGCCTGAAGTCATCTTTAGCTGAAATCATTGGAATAATATTCAGAAGGAAACCCCACAAGAAGCATCACTCAAATCCTCCTCAACAATGGCGGCATAACTCATTTCCAATGCAGGAAAGCTTTGTCATTGCCAACGAAGACGAGCCGCCACCTGTTGAAACGAGGTCGCCGATGCCTCGGAAGACTTACGCCTTCATGTCTCATGATCCTGAGAAGATCCAACACCTTCGGCAAGGCCAGGTTTACTTTGATAATTGGGATGGCAAAATGATTCTTCAACAACAAAAGTATCAACAGCAACAACAGCAACAACAGCAACAGGTGCATCAACATCGGCAATATTCTTCGGGTCCACAAACTTTCTATGAGCAGAACTGTGAAAATACAAACGAAATTGTGTTTGGAGCCGTTCAAGAGGATAGGAAGAGGACAATGGAGATTAGAGCTATAAATTATGGTGACACATACTATGATCAGTTTGGGATGCGGTACAGGATTGGTTCCAGTGGTTTTAGCAACGGCTACTGAGCATGTCTTTCTTTACGAATACTTTTCTTTGTAAGATAAATCAAGTCTTCATTCCTGAGTTAATGCTTTAGCTTTTTTAATAACTCTTGTTTCTGGTGCCCTTTAATGTTGTGTTTGGATGCTTGGAATATGAGAAGTGAATGAGAGCCAAATCAGTTGCTGTAGATTTATGTTCAGATAATTATTGCCATCCAATTGTTAAGTAAAAAAAATGTTAATTTTAGGATTCATGTATCTTGAAAATTCTTTTTATCATTATGTTTATGACTATTTGTATTTAAAGCATTCACCTATATGATAATATGAATATGTGACTATTATTTAGTATAATCATGTCTTTGTATTCTTAGCAGTGTATCATAGATCGTTAGCATGCCATAATTATATGCATTATGTGAATTAAATTATATGCATTTTATATTTATTTAATGTGCAAGTAATATGGCATAATTTTAGTTTTTTAATATATGAATTAATATAGGATCCAATACATATATATGCCATAATTTTAGAAATGTCTAATGTCCAATTGTCCATGCTATATTATATCCATGTCTTTGTATTCTTAGCATTGTGTCATAGGTTGTTAGCGTGTTAGAACGAGTCTTGGTGTGTACAACACAAATCTTGATGCATTTTGTTGTAAAATAGTAACCTCGTCGATAACTCCCAATCACAATCAACCATCGTCGACCACTGTCTGTTGTCAACTTCCATCGACCTTTTGTTGTCGGAGACCCTTGCTTACAAATATCTTGTTCTAAATATGGTTGTGATATATAAAACCTATATTGAAGACCTGACAATAACTTCTGACCTTTTTAGCCAACGACCAACTTCGATCACTACCGACCACAACTTATGACAGTCGTAGCTAAAATGCAACTGGGTTTTCTTGACACTTTTTTTTTCTTTACTCTCTATAATGACAACTGTAGTGTTTGGTGTAAAATAGCAACCTCGCTCTCCCTGAGAGAGGGGTCCAGTCATCAACTACGATCGCTATGACCAACTAACGTTATTATAACTTCTAACAATGGTTTTTTTTGGCCAACTGATGATATTGCAATCACTAACTACGACTTATGTGGTCAACCAATGTTATTAAAACTTTCATTTACGACATTTGTGGCAAATTAATGTTATTGCAGTTAGCAACATTGGCTTCTGTGGCTAACTGATGTCATTGCAAGTTCTAACCATAGCATTTGGGCCCAACTACTACCTTTGTTGCTATTAACCGCATTTGTAGCAACCAATTATGACCTTTGTGGCCAAGTACTGTTGTTTTATGGCCTCAGTGGCCAATTGCTTCTTTTACAACCACAGACTATGACATTTGTAACGAATTACTATTATTACAGTCTCCAATTATGGCCTTTATGGTCGTAACCACTGACTCTAGCCTTTAGGACCAACCACAGCTTTTGCAGCGACCAATTACAGTCTTTGTGGTCAACTACTATTGTTACGGTCTTCAATTATGACATGTATGACTAATTGCAGCTGTTGTAGCCATCAACTACAACCTTTATAACCAACTACTGTTTTTGTAGCAACCAATTGGGGCATTTGTCCCCAACTACTATTGTTACAATCTCTAATTACGATCTCTGTGACCAATTTTTGCTATTGCATTCACTTACTATAGTCTTTATGACAAACTATTGCTTTTATAGCAACCAACTATAACATTTATGAGTAACTACTGATATTACATTTGTTGTAGCTCAGTTATGAATATTTTTACTGAACTATTGTAAATTTGTGAATATCAGCTTTGTAATTTCATCTTTTCTAATTCAAGAGAAGAGTTAACTTATGTGCTTACACTTATATGGTGGTTTACTTTGATTGGGCTAGGCCCTGTGATTTTTTCCCTTTTCGACATTTTTTCATATAAAAATTCTGGTGTTTCCTCATACTAGGTTTTTGTTATTTATGTGCGTGTTGAATTTTTATACAACGCTAAGATATTAGATTATCATTCTACAATCACAAATTTTATGTCACGCAACAAGCTCAAACTTAAATGAGCCTACTCTTTATCACATTCTTCTTGTGTGGCACAAATTGGATGCTCCTTTCTTAAAATACTTACAAAGTTACATGCATTTCATATATATATATATATATATATATTATAAAGAAGGATTGAACAGGACAAAGATATATATATTTTTTTAAAAGCTGCTTGGGTAAAAGTGCTTATTAGAAATGAACCAATCGATCATTGAGAATCCATATTGTTATAGAAAACATAAAAAATATATAATTATTCTTGCACAATCCTAGTTGCATTCAATCTCAATAAGCAAAGGTCCTCCAAATCTATCAAGCCAGATAAATAGAAATATTTTTTAATATATTATAGAAATATAAGAATCATACATAGAGATGACAATGATGGATATCTAAGCCAAGTGAAAAAAAATTTCTTTATAGATGCTTATTCTTAAGAATCTCAAATGGCATTTGAAGTTAAATACCTATAATAGACTTTTGAAGTATATATGCTGCACCCTAAAAAGGATATTCTGATAATGATAGCATGAGAGGTTCCCTATGTTAATGAAAATATGGATATAATGATAACAATTTGCTTTAGTTGTATGGTAGGCCACCCTTACATACCATTAGATCCAAGTTAAAATGATTTTATTTTTTTTTGTATTTCTTTGGTGTATGCTTTTTGCTGATGATATCCTTCTCGTGGATAAAACGAGAGAAAAAGCCCAGGAAAAACTTGATTTGCGGAGGTTTACATAAGAGTCTAAAGGCCTTCATTTAAGTAGAACTAAAACTGAATACATGGAATGTATTTTTAGTAGTAGTAGCTCTAGTAACAGAAGTGTGACTTTGGGTGATCAAATTATTAAAATGTGTGAACGATTTAGATATCTTGGGTCCGTTGTTCAAAGCGATGGTGATATAGATGGAGATGTTAATAGTAGAATTACAGTTGGTCGGTTGAAGTGGAGGAATGCTTCGGGCCTTTTGTGTGATAGAAAAGTACCACTTAGACTGAAATACCAGATAGAAAAGTACCACTTAGACTGAAAGGAAAATTTTATAAGACGTTGGTGAGACCTGCAATGCTCTATGGCGTTGAATGTTGGCCTTTAAAAGAGAAGCATTATAATAAGTTTAGTGTTGCTCAAATGAGAATGATTAGGTGGATGAGTGGCTTTACACTTAGAGACAAAATGTGAAATGAATATATCCGTTATAGGGTTGGTGTAGCTTCTGTGACGGACATAATTAGAGAAAGTCGTCTTAGATGGTTTGGTCACATTAAACATCGACCATCTGATGATCCGATTAGGAGAGTAGATGTTTTAGATTCGACTTGTGTTATGAAAGGCAGAGATAGACCTAGGAAAACATGGGCTTATTGTATAAAATGATATTAATTTACTAGAACTAAATGAAAATATGACACTAAATAGGACACAATGGAGAAAAAGGATTCATGTAGCCGACTCCACGTAGCGATATTAAGACTTTGTTGTTATTGTTGTTGTTGATCTCTTTACTTGAACTAATGCATGCGGTCTTTATTTTTTTTTCTCAAATTGAGGAATTTTCTTCTCTCTTTCTCAAAAAATCTATGGCGATCGATGATTATATAAATGGATCTTCGATTTTGAATATTTAAAAAAATCATCTATTATTGTTCCTATTCATGTAGCATTTCCTCATTTGAGAGTTCATCTATTTGATGAGGCCATCATTTTTCCATAGGATCTCTTTTTTGGCATACCCTTAATTATATGTGGTCTAAAATAACATATATAGGCTTTCAACATATAGAGAGTCCTTGTAGTAATTGATGTTACTCAAAACTTTCTAGTTAAAATTTATATCGGTACTATATAGAAATATTTTGGATAAAAGGTTATTTCCAAAAAGCTATTGAGCTTTTAAAATAATTTTAATTTTCTTGATAATAACATTCAAATGAATAAAAAATTGATCAACGTGAAGTTTAATATATAAAAAAGCATCCTTCTGCTTATCAAGAAATTAAAGTGAATGGATAAAGTGAATTAGTTCAAATTGTATTGTGTCAAATTGGAGCACACCTATTCTTTACCCTTTGGTCCAGACATAAAGAACATTGACTTATCTTATGCTTGGTTACTGAATCTGCGGCTAGGCTGGGAGGATGCCGACTCTCACTTCGGAGCTCTCACGTTCCCCTCGCCTGAGGGCTAACATCTACACTTCAGCACCCGAACGATAGGATCAAATTGAGGATTTTAATCTGTCACTCTAAAATCTTCAATTATACGCCCGATAATTTTATTTCACTATTTATTTGCATCCAACTTTCAAGGACTTTGACCTCCCTGAATCTTGGATGTAATCTTCACTTTAGTGGTAAAACTCAACATATTTTAACAAATTAATTAGTCAGTGTTGACCTCACTTTTGGTTGAGGTCTAGAAAACTTCTTTAGTAGCCTAGGTCTAGCCATAGGACTTTCCTATTGACTAGTCTTAGAAAACTAGAAGAGGTACCCCACTATTAGAAATTCAAAACTCTTCTTTTTATTCAACTTGAAATTCCACATATTGATCTTAACCTCTAGCATTTAGTAGGTAAGATCATTATAAGAGAATTTAAGAAGAATCCCTACAGGATTACTTGGCTTTAGGGTTGACCCGGGGTGTTGACTTGGAACTAAGATACACCACATCTTCACAATACATTAATCCATGGTTCATTTAGAATGGATATTTATCCAATTCTATGTGGAATGCTTAACTTGGTCTTTTGCCCCTAGGCACCTCCAAATTACCTAA